GAACTTGCCTTGTCAAGGCCAGCGCCAAGTCTTTTCAAAGCTTCCGCGCCACTACAGTCGCTGCTTCTACTGTTACTACTACTACTACTTCTACTGTTACTACTACTACTACGACTACTAGTACTACTACTACTACTACTACTACTACTACTGCTAGGACTACTGCTGCTACTATTTACTACTACTCCTACTACTGCTACTACTCCTACAACGACAACTACTACTACTACTATTACTACTACTACTAGTACTACTAATAACTACTACTACTACTACTACTACTACTACGACTACCACCTTTGTTACTACTACTACTACTACTACTATTGTTACTACTACAATATTACTACTAGTACTACTACTTCGGCGACTACTGCTACTACTACTACTGCTGCTGCTGCTTCCGCGAATCATACCCCCGAATCATACCTGCGAATCATACCCCGTACTCAAACCTTCCTGCCCGGCCACCCTAAAAAAATACACACCCATATATATATTTTTACATATATATATATTCATATATGTGTGTTTTGTGTTTTGTGTGTTTGTGTGTGTGTGTTGGAGGGTACCCTTTTCTCCTTGGGTCAAAGGCCGCCTGAACGAACAAACACGCTTTTTGCGTCCTTTTGACACATTTTGCACATTAGTTGGTTCACTAAAAATGGGACAACATTAGGCATATGGTTTTTGGTTGGCGGGGCAGAAGCTGAGGGTGACAAATGGGTGGGGGGTGAGGTGTGGGACGTTTTTTGATGGCATTCGGCGCAATGGAACGATCCGGGCACCTGCTGATGGGTTTTCCAAGGCTGGGGGGCTTTGTCGAGCTCATAGAAGCCCTTGATGGGTACTGTCCCACCAGATTTGTCAACTGACATGAGCGAAAGGAATGGCTGAAATGGGAGTTACATCAAATGGGAAAGGGGGACCCCTTTGATTTGCAGAAAAAAATGTTCAAAATGCAATTTCGAGTAAGAGCTTTTAAACGTAGGGCACTATTTTTTCAAGACGAAACCTTCTCAAGGGAGCCCAATGGAGACCCTAATGATACAACCCTTGTCATACAAGGAAACCCGTCTCGCAGAGTGGATCTGGGTTCGGAAGAGTTTAGTATTGGTTGAGTACTGGATACTTTAGAATAAGTATTGGCAATTTTTGGGGTAGGCTGCGGGGGGGGGGGGTTATAACTAGGGTATGGTTTATTAATAGCAAGATTCAGGAACCCCCATTGTTTTGTTCTTCTTGCTTCACTGCGGAAAAAAAAAGGCTCAGCAAGGGCACCCTCGAAAGCAGAGTACGCAATGGACAGAAGCGTCTTGGGCCCGGAATTCTAATTCGCTTTCGGGTGCTGTGGACAACATTCTGCAGGGAGCGGTCCCGGTATTCACAGGGTTCCTTGACCGCTCGCGTCTCATTTCCTGCGTTCATGGACTTGATACACTTCTTGTGTTTGGGCAATTTTAGTGGTAAACATAAAGTTTGGATGCCCTGTCCACTAACATGGAACCCAGGATACAGTCTTCCAGCCCTCAGTCAGGTTCTTTTCCGTGGACGGGAGGGAACCTTTGTTATGACATCCAATCCACTCGAAAAACGGAAGTGAGGGGGGAGAGTCCTGTGGGTGGGAAAAAAAAGGAGGACACTTCCAGCCCTGGAGGTCCGACACCCCCCTTGGTTGAGGGTTTGGCGTCACAATTTGTAACAAGAAGCCACCAGCTACTTAAGGCGTCCTTCATGGTTGTTGTTGTTGGGAAACATTTTACATTTTTGCTTATTGTGGTTTAGTGGGAAATCCCCACTTAACTGCTAAAATTTAATTTGTTGCCCCCCTTCCAACGTCAACCAAGCCTTGTCCTTTCGATTTCGCGTGGCGAACCTGGCCACGTCACGTGGCCAATCAGGAGCTCCCAGTGAGTCCGGTTTTATTCCGGCTGCTGCGGATCGGCAAGCTGGCACGCGCCATCCGCATGATCTCCATGACCACCATCCTCCTGTCTCTTCAGCGCCCGGAAAGAGTTAGACGAGTTAGACCGTTGACATGAAAATGTCAACCCCAAGTTATTAATAGGGGGTGTCCAACTGGGTTCAGTAAAGAGACCATTAATGTTGACACTAGATTTTCACCAACCAACCAGTTTAGTTTCATAGGGGGGTGCTTTTCCAACTGGGTGAAATGTGGATGGAATCAGACCACTTTTGGAGGGGCCCCCACCCCCATATTAATAAACTGGGGTTGATTAAGACAAGTTAGTTAGACCGGTCAGGCATGTGAAGCTTGGTGAGACGCAGGGAGGTTGTTTGCGTTCCTTGCATCTTTTATACAGACAGGTTTGCAAGGAATTCTAAGAGGTCCTGGTTCTAGTGAAAGCAGAAAACATCTGTTGAAACAACAGGGGGGGGTGCAGCATTTATTGTAGAATGGGTCGACAAAAGTTGTGTGTTTGTTTCTTGCGAGTTGCTGGTTTTGCCAGTGTTTGGTTTGTATTGCTGTACTGCATTTCACCACTTGTGTGCAGGTACCCCAGAAATCCTGTCCAGACCGCAGGCTCCAGGCTTCCGGATCCCACAGATCCACGCTCCAGGTGGATGGACGAGATCCATTTCGCACCTTAGACACCCTGGTGTCTGATGATTCCCCTGTAACTACCAACAAACGTCATGGTTTCAACCATGGTTTCAAAGTGGTGCGTTGCATGGATTTCGCAACCATCCACCGTAAGACTGCAGGTCGTCTTCAGTCTTGGGTTCTCGATCAGATGGGTGTCTCAAAATGCGGACCCCCCCCCCCACAGACACTCGTTTTCCTCAAAGCGACCCGAAAGGGTACCCTCCGAACGTCAAAAGAAGAGCGTCAATGCCCCCTTGGCCCAGGATTAAAGACAGCATGGGGGTGCTAAGGGTCAGAAGGAGACTCCAGGTACTTTGAGGCAGTTGGTTCTCCATTCCCCCGCCGTTCGGGCTCCTCATGACGTTTTTCGCGGTTCGCTGCCTGCGATGTTCTTTCTTTCTTTTTTTCCCGTGTTTTTTTTGAGTTTTTTTCCCCCCCCCCCCCCCCGTTGGTTTTTGTTTTTTGGATTCCAGTGTGGTTCTCTTTCTCCCCCCCCTTTTCCTTAGCCTTCACCTTCGGGTCCTTCATGGGGAGAATTCGAATGGGTCCCATGGGTTTTGCTCGGTTTCGGGGATGGATGCGAGACGCGAGACGCGAGAGCGACGCATCGAGGCTGCTGATCAAGTGCCTGGCCGCCAGCCGGGACATGCTCTTCTGGAGCTTCTGTTTGCTCTCCTTCGTCCAGTGCCGCTCGACCGAAAAGAGAAATTTGGGATAGGGATCCCGGAGTGCCAAAAGAACATGGGTGCTCCGAACAGAAAAGAGAGAGAGAGAGAGAGAGAGGGGGAGAAAGAGGATCCAAACCGAAAAGAGTCTCCTTCCGCATCTTTAATCAAGAATAGGTCCATGACCAACCATGATTTAGGGTCATGACCAACCATTTTTCAAGGGTCATGCAGACTCTAGGGAGAGAGAGAGAGAGAGAGAGAGAGAGATAGGGGGAAAGAGAGAGAGAGGGAGAGAGGAGGGCCCCGGTGGAAACGGCAGGGAGGGCTCAAAGCAAAAAAGAAAAAAGACCGGGTCTTACCCCCAACTCCGAACAGAAAAGAGAGAGAGAGAGAGAGAGGTTTGGCTAGGGATCCCGGTGCATGGAGTGCCAACAACAGAACATGGGCTTTAGATTTGAGGGTTTTTTGGAGGCTCAGAGGGAGAGAGGGATCCCGGTGCATGGAGTGCCAACAACAGAACATGGGTTTTAGATTTTGAGGCTCGGTAATTACCCTGACCTTCCCCAACCTGGTTGTATCTTTGCCGAGAAAAAAAGAAAGAAAACACTGCCATGGCGCCACCTGCGGAAAGGCGTCAATCCTTTGGAGCAGAGACGTGATCCTGAGGCCCCGCTTTCCTTCTCCCCGAAGGCAGGCTATTTGCCCCGCAAATGCTAGTGGGAACGGCAACAAAGCTTCATGTCATGTGGATGGATGAAATCCATGTCGCACCAGTGCAAAACCATTTCTTATGTGGTGCAGGATTTGTTAACCAAAAGGTCCGGTTGATTCATTTGTTGGAGCACGATCCCTGCGAAGTCCTTTGAGGCAGACCTGAGACTTTAAGGAGAAGGAAAGCAAGTCCTGCAAGCTTTGTTGGTGGCGTGAGTCGCTTCGTGGTCCGTTGTTTGTGGCTGTTTTGTTGGTTCTTTGGTTGTTTGAGCGGCTGGTGATGGCTGATGAATTGGCTGGGCTACTTCATTGGCTCGGAGACATTGTGTACAGGTTTCAGCCAATGTCGATAGGAACCAGGGTGGGATCGCTCAGGGTTCATCCCCACTGTGATACAAGTCGGAATCCCATAGGGTCAGTCCTTCGGCCCTATCATAGATTCGTGGATTCCATTTCAACAGCAGGAACACAAACAAACAGATTCGCCCACGCAGCGAGGCCTTCCGGAAGGCTCAAATCCAATTTCCGATTTCCCGGCCGGGGCCGGGGGTGATCGCGGGTGGGTTGGGGTTGGGCTTCGAGGTGTTGCAGGGATGATCCTCAGCACCCTCTGCCAAGACTTCATCGCGGAGCCTCGCCCGAACGGGCCCAAGGGGTTAACAAAGAGTAAAACCTCGAACATCCATGGGGGAAGGTTTGAACATGAGCTTTGTCACCCAAAATGCCACCTTTGCCATCCTGCCCTACAGCCTGTGTGAGTGTTTCAGTACCTGGGCCCTCAAAAGACTGCCGTTTGTTGGTCGCGATTCGAAAGACCATTTTCTTGGCCGCGCGACAAAACAACGGTCACGGTACGAACAAATGAATTTCCCGCATTAGACCAAAAATCATCATCATGGCAACTGCAGCCCCCAACACCGTTGTGATAGAGTGTGTCAGAGCATAAATACGGGCTCTGTGCGCCTTTGTACGACTTAGTGCGGTTTTGTTGGGTTTTGTACGGTTTCGTACGGGTTTTGTGCGGATGTTGTACGGGTTTTGTACGGAACAATACGGTCGCAACATGTCACAAAAATGGTAGCGGCATGAGAAAATAAACGGTCGTTGTAAGGGAAAAAGGTCGTGGTCCGAGAAAAAAACGTTCTTTGAACAGAGAACAAAAACGGTCGTTGATTGCAAAAAAAACAGCCGCACGAAAAAAAACACCGTCGCAGCATGAGAAATTGCGGTCGTTTCAGTAGCCACAGCATGCTGCACACCCAATTATTGTCAAACATGCGTTGATTCAAACAAACCAATGTTCACAGCCTGTCACTTCGTTAGGCCTTGGCAGGTAATAAGTTGCATAGTGTCCACTTGGCTGAGCAGCATGCATGGCAGGCATTCAGCGCATTTGAGCAGAAAATGCTTGTTCAAAAAAAATGGTCGTACGAGCAAAAAATGGCCGCGGCGTACCGCAACCAAAAAACGGCAGTCGTTTGAGGCCCCAGGTATGTAGATTAGAAATGTTCGCCAACTGAGAACTGCGGCAATCAAAGATCGAGTATCATTATCTGAATTGTTATGTTTAGTCGCGTGTGCCATTGCAATGTTTTGTGCTTCACTTTTTTAACACTGCTTCGTACACATTAAATACAATCTTAAACACTCTAACGGACTCCAACGGAAATTTTGGATTACGGTCTCGTGGGTTTCCCTTTTACAGAGAAAGATAAATAAAGATAATGATAACAAAGCTAAAGTAAATAGTAAACTATATATATATAATAATAGTAAAATAAAGTAAAATAAATATAATAACAGAAAAGCAAGATAAAAAAAAGACAAGTTATTACAGCTATTACAAAGAGAACTTGTCTTTTCCTTCATCATGTTATCTCTGCCTTCATTCCGGCCTGACATGACAAAGGGATGAGCCGGAGGTGAAGGAAGAAGTCTTGTCCATCCGCTGGCCAGTTCTTTCTCTCGCTCTCATCTCATCAAACTCAGAAGTCGATTTCGACGGGGCACACCTCCATGCCACACGACTCAGGCCCTTTGTGGCTTGCTTGGATCTACGTCTAAAACTGGTGACATGCTGATGGTTGCGAAATCTGCGAGTCTCGCACCACGAAACAGAACCATGACTGAAATCACAACGTTTGCTGGAATTTACAGGGGAATCGAATCATTCCAGGGTTTCTGAACGGTGGTGCGAGAGGGATTTCGTCCATCCACAGTATTAGCGTTCGTGGTTGAGGCCCATGGTTGTTTGGGGCCCATGACGCGTGCGCAAATATGTACCTACCCACTCCGTTACAGCATACACATACACAGGCCATCTACATGTGACAGATTGCGTCTTCAGTGTTTGAAACCCTTCCATCCTGACCTCAGATAAACCCTACATCAAGCCTCAGACGATGCCCTGATGAAGCTGCGCAACTTGCTCGTGCCCAGCGCCCTTAGGCAACCTTCAAACATTCTAAACACAGCTTATTTCCGCCTTAAAACCCGCCACCCACACGACTGATCACATGCTAGGGCGTTACACATTCTAACGGCCATGGCTAGCGTGGTCATGTTTGCGTTTGTCTACATTTGTGCATTCATGGTTTTCAACATTTTTAGTCAAACCGTCAGCTTGCCAAGGACAAAGCGATGGACATGCAGTTGCGAGAAGATGTCTTCCGCTATTATGGCTGCTTGGCAGCGCTTTTCAGAGAAAATGTGACGAGCAGCCATGCGATGCGGCCTGTGGAGCATGTGTTGTGCGCATGATGGAAGTGATAAAATGTTTGGATGTAGGCAGCGGTCGCGTCATTTTTTTTAGTGTTTTGCGGGCTCAGAGCTCAGCTATGCTAAGCGTTTGGCTGGGCGTTTGCTCATTGGGGTGTTCCGCCAAAAGGCAAAAACATGGTGACGGCGCCTGTAGGCCGCCAGCGCTGTTGACAGGTTTGCCAAGGTTTATGAACGTATATTCACAGAACACCTCAAAAAACGCAGGGTTTTGGCAACCTGACCAACAACTGTTGCCTTTGCAGAGTCCCCAAAAACGCGCGAGCGCGCCCGAAAAAAAGCATCGGCAGGCGTTTCGTCTAGACGAGACGCGTTTTTTGGCAAGAAGAGCTGATCAAAACTTGCGCTCTATCTCCACAAGCCCACTTCTGAGCGGGTGTTGAGCGGGTGTTCTTATTAGGTGGTAGGCGTGGATACAGTGCTGAGCGGGTGCACGTGAGCTGGTGTTCTTATTAGGTGGTAGGCGTGGATACAGTGCTGAGCGGGTGCACGTGAGCGGGGATACAGTGCTCAGCGGGTGCACGTGAGCGGGTGTTCTTATTAGGTGGTAGGCGTGGATACAGTGCTGAGCGGGTGCACGTGAGCGGGTGTTCTTATTAGGTGGTAGGCGTGGATACAGTGCGGAGCGGGTGCACGTGAGCTGGTGTTCTTATTAGGTGGTAGGCGTGGATACAGTGCTGAGCGGGTGCACGTGAGCGGGTGTTCTTATTAGCTGGGCGGGCGCGCGTGAGCGGGTGTTCTTATTAGGTGGTAGGCGTGGATACAGTGCTGAGCGGGTGCACGTGAGCGGGTGTTCTTATTAGGTGGTAGGGGTGGATACAGTGCTGAGCGGGTGCACGTGAGCGGGTGTTCTTATTAGCTGGGCGGGCGCACGTGAGCGGGTGTTCTTATTAGGTGGTAGGCGTGGATACAGTGCTGAGCGGGTGCACGTGAGCGGGTGTTCTTATTAGGTGGTAGGCGTGGATACAATGCTGAGTGGTAGGCGTGGATACAGTGCTGAGCGGGTGCGGGTGTTCTTATTAGGTGGTAGGCGTGGATACAGTGCTGAGCGGGTGCACGTGAGCGGGTGTTCTCACCATCTTTGGGCAGGGATGCACTTGAGCTGCTCCCGCGCGCTTACAGGCTGTCCGGGCCAACAGCAAGTAAACCTATCCAGCAACTGTGCTTGTCGCGCCCGCCATGACTTGTGCGCTTTGCTGTCTGGCGAGTCATGTTCGGAAAGCGGCTCCTGGGGCGGTCCTAGATGGAGGTACCGAAGTTCGCAGCTCTCCGCATGGTCAACTCTCGACATGGCCCAGCGAAGAAACCTATGGGAACAGCACGGTCATGCTGCGATCATGCTTCGAGCTAGCTGACAGCTGCTGAAGTCTCAAAAGTGACAACAGTCCCGGCGGCTTCTGGGCGCCGCCACCAAAAACATGTGCTTCCAGCACAGTTTCGACTCACCGGCACAGTGCCTGCGGAGCCTTTGGCCGTTGTGGTAGCTCCTGTGAGGAAGGTGGCCTGACTTTCAGTTTCAAGCTTGAATTCAAGACAATGTGTCCCTTGAGTGGTGGCTGCGGTAGTCGCCTCGAGGTTTTGTGCGGCAAGGAGCAAAATCCTTTTTTTTGCATTCCAGGCACCAAGGTGAAAAGCTACTTGTTGGTTTCGTGGATTATGCAACAACTTTGCCAATGCTCCCCAAAATGCACCAGACAAAGCAGATTCTAAACTTCTCCACGGCACGAATTGGTAACCTTCGTTGCTTCATCCCAATTGAATTGTCGCACGGCTTTGTGGCACAGCTGGGAGGGCAACAAAACTTTCAAGAAATGTCATCCCTGTCAAAGGTTTGAGTTCCACAAGCTTGACAGCTTTGAAGAGGTTGGTCTTCGGCTGCCCCCCCTCCCCCCCAACCCCTCAATGCTACAGGGCGACTTGCGGGACTCACAAGTGACAGGCATGCGCAGCTGTCAAGCGCGGTGAGATTTTTTGGGGAAGACTCCGCTCACGCGCACTAGTTGAGGGGGCATCCTTGTTGGGGCAGAAGGGCCCTTGCGGCCCATGACGAATTGCAGGTGTTGAGCGGCCTCGGCCGCTGTATGTCTGAAGGGGTGCCTTGATTGTCAGCTTCCGGGTTGTTAAAGTGGCATTCCTCGAAGTCTCTCAGCAAATCTTCATGCAAGAACTATTATGCTGATTTTTCCAAATAAGATAATTATCAGTTCATGGTCAGTCCTCAACAAGGGCAGTGCTTGATACTGGCGCAACAGAGAATGCAGCGGCGACAGCTGTGACAGAGCTGACAATCTCCGATGACAGCGGTGACTGGCCTTCAGGCTCCCGCCGGTGTGGCGGACCCAGACTGCTCTTGCCAGAATGACCGAGACACAGATCCCCTAGCGTGCTCATCTTGGCGCAGGTTCCACTTGCAAAAGTGGCCGGTTTTGCTTCCCAGGTTTGTTGTTCCCCACCCGGCAGGTTTGGGGTTGTTAGACTTCAAGTGGCACACGACGGCCACCCAATGAATCAGAGTGCCCTGGATGAGGGGAGTCCCTGCCAAGCAGGACAAAACGTGATTTTGGTAGCAGATAGGGCAGCTATTGGTTTTGGTTCAGCGCTGCCTTGCTTCCATTTTGGCTCGATTGAGTTTCTTCGCTGTCGCATCAGGGTAGCAGAAACCAGCGAAGTTGGTTTAACCTTTCGGTGCCTGTGCGGCTGCAGGATGTAGAGGAATGAAGGGTGGGTAAATTACTGGAGTGGGTTTGCGTGTACGTAAGGCTTCCTTGAAGCTAGTCTGCTGTGAACACGTAGCAGTGAGATAGTGAGCTGAGCATTCAGGACACAGCGATTCGTTTTTTGTTTATTAAGATGGTGACTCCTGCGGGCCGAGGCACCTTTACTCGGACCTTTTTGACCATGTTTGAGATACTCTTTGCCAACTGGAGCCCAGCCTGCCGCGTGCTGGTGGAGAACGCCGCGAGCTGAGCCATTGCTCGAGCTCGCTGATCGGGTTGGTTGGAAGGGCTCCTGTTGTGGGTCATCAGTTATTGCCTTCCCACTGTTGGCCACAATGTCAATGTTTTGTGCGACCGTGTTTTTCAGAGCTTTATGACTTTTGGCTTTCCAGTTTTCTTGTGGGCTCCCAGTGTTGGCATCCAAGTAAGCATCGTGTCTTAGATTCCATCTCCTGAGCTTGATTGTCACACTTTCAATATGCGTTCTGCAAACTTTCACTTTTTCAGAGCTTCTTTAGACACATCGGTCGGTTGTCGACGGCGGTTTGGCATTTGACTAGCTGTCCTTTGCGTATCAATCTAGTTTGTGCCCGACGGAACTGCACCACTGTCAAACTCCGAAGTCCCCATCTTGTCGGTATCTTGTTTTGATGGACGCTTGTTTATTCCAGTTACGCGGCGGCTGTTATGGGTCTCCTTTCCTTTTTCAGGAAGTGCAGCGTGGGCTGGCGTCTCCGCAAGTACGGATGCCTGCATGTGAAGCGTCCTAGTCATGGTTGCTGAATTCGACTTGCATTGTGATTCATTGTTGGTTGCCTTTTCTTTCCTGGCGTGCTGCTATCACATAAACATTTTGTAAACAGTGATAGAAGCTGCCAAGGCATGAACAGTGTTGTGTACTTCACGAGACGGGATTGCTAACAAGATTGTTTGGATGGCAATGGCAGCCCAGGTCAGCGAGTGGTTCTCCGTATTTTTTCTCCTGTACCGCTGCGTGCTGGGCTTTGCGGTTATCAACGTGGTGACTCCCGGCTGCACGCAGAGCAGGAGTGCGCCCCTCTGACAACGTGCTGATTTCCAGGCAGCGAGCAAAACGCATTTGTGTCACGCTGGTTGAATAAGCATGTGTATACACTGGCCAGACACAAGTTCCCCTGAAATTCAAAACGGCTACAGCCCTTTCTCCCTAGGATCCCCTTTGCAGTGAGACCTACGCAGGTCGGCGCGGTCAATCTTGGATGCCAGGAAGCAACTGTTATTTTTGTTCCAAGGGTGTGAGAATTGACCGTCCCACTGCCACACGGATTGCGCTCAATTTGACCCGTTGACCGGATAGGGTCTTGGAAGACAGCCTACAAAGCATAAACTGTTCAATTTTTGTCTGGCTGAAGTATATGATAGATAATATGTGAGAGTCGTCCGAAAGGTCGTTGTATTGAGCTATGAAGGGGACCTTTTGGTCTTAGCGTTGACCTTCGCGAAAGTTCCGCGAAGGGGGTCGCGAAAGTTAATTTTTTTCCGCGAAAGTTTTGGGTGGCTTGCTAACAGGAAGCTGGAGTGATGAACCATGTGTATCTACCGGCAGTGCGCGCAGAATGCCCGCAGAGTAAAGTTGGTCGGAGAATGCGCAGCCTGAGGGTCGCCGCAAGAATACGCCGCTGCAAAAGCAACCCCCAGCCAGCAGAAACCAGCTTCTGGGAGTTTTGAAGCTGTCGGGGCAAGCTGAGCGCAACTTCCAGCCGGATTTTCGCGAATGTTTGGCGTAAGATCCGCGAAAGTTTCGCGAAAGTCGACGGACCTCCCCGCCAGTTTCCGGACATGAGGCCAACGGGTCCTCTCATGCGCAGCTTGCGGCTTGTGAGCTGGAGCTGCGGAAGCGCGCTTCGCGTGCTACTTTGGAACTGAAAGGTCGCGACTTTCGAGCTGGGACTGCGGAAGTTCACTTTGTGTACTACTTTCGTATGGAAAATCTCTGACTTTCGAGGCTGAGGAAGTTTAGTTCGTGTACTACTTTCGCATTCAAGCACTGAAGAGCTGCGACTTTCGCACTGGGGCTGCGAAAGTGTACTTCGTGTACTACTTTTGTGATGAATGTTCTGAAAACAGCCCCGCGAAAGTTCCGCGATGGGGTCCGCGAAAGTTATTTTTTTCTCGCGAAGATGGCGGTTTCCGGAACAAGGAATTTCAGACAACCGTCATGTATATATAGATATATATTTAATCCCAAGAGTGCTCAGGTTTTGAATCATAGAATCACATGCCGGTCAAACGCAAGCAAAAGCCGCTGTTTCCCTTATGGCCGGGGTGAACTTTGGCGTGCTGGGGCAAAGCAGCGACCTTCTGAAACCAAGCTTTAGGAAGCGGACTGCGTGAGCAAAGGGTGTCCAGTTGGTTTCGGCAAGCAACCTCGAAATTGGTACCCGCGAAACAAGATCCGTGCTGAAGACTCACAAACACAGTACTCAAGTTTTCAGAGCCGAGCGCTACTGGGGGTTGTCAGCTGGTTCGAGGAAGCACGAACGTCCATTGGGCTCCCCCCCCTTTACGACATACATATATATATATATAGTGGCTGAAACTTCCTCATCTACACAGCAATACCTACGGATTAGGTCTTGCTTGCGGCTTGCTTGAGTGCCACGCTTCCAAGGAATTCCGTCTTTGTGCAGCAGACCATGAAGACGGCAAGCTCTGACGAGGACCTCGCCTTTCGGCAAAAGCAGAAGGACATCGTTGCCTACACTCGCAAGGCCTTTTTTTTTTGCTCGCACCTTTTCTGCTCGCACCTTCAGGCGCATCGCATAACCCCATGGCATAGGCTGGAAGCTAGCGAACATCTATTCCCACGCAAGGCCCTTGATCGGGTGCCTTTCTCACGAGATGTGGCCCCATAGGTGTCCTTTTGATCGGTTAGTTTGGTTAGAATTAGATGGGTTCCACTGGTTTGGATGGGTGGTATTCCATTTACCAGGCCCATCGTCTATTCTCCTAACACCTATATGTGTGGCCCCTTGAGTCAGGCACCCACGAAACTGTGTCGCCTGGGATTACCGAGATCAAAGGCCCCGAACAGGATTCCGAGATTGCGTTTGGGTCAAACGACCCCTCTATTCGCTCCACAAAGGAAAAATCGATGACCCTATGTTCAGCGACCATTTTGGCGGATCAAATAGAGGGGGGGGGTGGCTGATCGCTTCAGATCGATCTGACAAGTTCTATGTGTTACTAAAATGTTCGAAAGTGAAGAACCACGAATCCAGGAGAAGCACATCTCCGAACCCACGGCTCCAGAAAAATCCACAGAAGCGCTGGGTCCATTGAATTCCAGCTACATCTTGTGAGTATACCCTTTTGCAAAGCCTTTATTGCGGCTCTGCTGATTCGAAGACACCAGGTTTGGTGTGTTTGGCCATGCAGGACAGCCTGTGGTTTTTTGCCGACGCGGGCTGCACCAAGCGAATGTTTGGCTGCCCCTCTTCAGCTTGTTACTTTGGGGCATCCCTTTTCCGAGGCAGCCTGCGGGGATGCAGACAAAGAAAGCCTGGGCCCAGGCAAGAATTGGTTCTTCGTTCTGCACCCGTCTTGAAGGTGAAAGCCTTTGTGAAGATAAACCTGTACACGTTCCCCTATTTATGTTTGGCCTGATCTATCATCTCTAAACAAGCTCTTGAAAGTGAATCAGTTCACTCCGCACGCTCTGGTCGAGCGCGTTTGCGTTTCCGGCGCGGAATGCGCCGCGCCGCTCCTGCACCTTGCGCCAATCCGCCGGCACCTGCCAGTTGCTTTGCCACGTGGGTCTTAAACGTATCGCTGGAAGCGAAGGTCCAGGGTGTTGCGCGCTGCGCATACCCCACGGGCTGTGCATATCGCACAATCTCCGAAACTAGAACCATGCGGACTTGGAACCGGGAACCACGGACAATGAACACATTGGGCCAATACGATATCAATTCATCATGGCCTTATTTGATGATGTGCAGTGTTTTCGTCGCCGAGGGATCTTACTCTTTCCAAGAACTCCCCCCCAAAAAAAAGAATAAGAAGAGAGAAAAGCAACAGAAAATGGCGCAATCGTCGGCTGGCAATGAAGGGTTTCGGGATTTTAGCTGTATCTTTACCACTTTTGAACCCAAAATCAGGTGAACCGTTTGTTTCTGGCCAGGTTCGGAAGCTCTTTCAGACCATGGATGCTTCCTGTGACGGATCCATCAACTTGGAGGACGGTACGCTTCGCGCAAGGTAAGCTCCTGGAGCTTCCATTTGAAGGCTATCTGTGATTTTTGGTGTGCTTGGTTTCAAAGGGAATCGATTTCACTACTGGAAATTACGTGTATTTCTTCCAGAAAACAGAAAAGCAAATGGCAGTCCCAGTTGCTGAAAGGAGTGTTTCTAGTGTTCCCCTTTGGTTGTAATGTTAACTTTGGATTCATCTGGACAACCCCTCTAGTCAGGGTCCCATCCCTAGAATAGGTCATGTCCTTGTCCTCCAGATTAATCCAGGGTCACCATTAAAAGAAATCAATCTATCACTGGACACATGTTCTCATTTTCTAGGGGAGAAAAACACATATTATGGTAACCGTTGTTTGCACTCCAATCATGGCTTGGCTCTTAATTACGCAAATGATGTGCGGATGGGTTTGCAGGTGTCTGAGTCTTCAAGTCTTTGGCTCCAAGGGTTGCTCCTTTGGAAGGGCGTACGGTCATTGCACGAGTGACGCGTGCATTGCATAGGTTTGTTTGTGTCAACCTGGGCAGATATTGGGTACCCTTTCCACCTTGGACACAACCCGCGGGAAAACACATTTCACACAGGCCGATGCAAAGTTTGCACGGAAAAGGACAGTTGCCGGCCTCACCGTGAAACGACGCATCTCGGAGTTGGACATAGGCACCCGGAACACGGCGTTCCTTTTGCCTAGCCAACCCAAAAAGCGTGAGACCTTGAAGACTTGAAGGCATGGCCCAATGACTGCAAAACCCGACCTTTGGAGATTGATTTCCTTGGGTAAATAAGGGCGGTTATATCAACCCCCCTTTGATTTGGTGGTTTGAAGCCCAGGGTCAGTTCTGCCCCACAACGCTGTCAAGACTTTTGCCTTGTGCCAAATCCCAATTCAGCTATGTCGATGGGATTGTGGGATGGGGATACTCCTTGACAACTTGGGCGTTCAGAAGATTTATACTGCTTCAATTGACAACGATACAACGAAGACATGGGGTTGATCAGTATTCCCGCCAAAATGACCATGGATAACTCTTTCCATTTAGTGGTGAAAGCCGTCCATTTTTGTGGTTTCCCCAATGGTCACCCCATGTTCACCTTTATCAACCTCCACATGTGAAGGAAGAACTATCTTTGCAGGAATTCTCCAAGCTGGTCTCATCTCCAAAGCTCAAGTTCTGGATGAGCCAGCTTGAGCTACTTGCCCAGCGACGAGACATGTCGGCGCTCTGTGCCGTGCGTGCCTGCGTGCCTGCGTGCCTGCGTGCCTGCGTGCCTGCGTGCCTGCGTGCCTGCGTGCCTGCGTGCCTGCGTGCCTGCGTGCCTGCGTGCCTGCGTGCCTGCGTGCGTGGCTGCGTGCGTGCGTGCGTGCGTGCGTGCGTGCGTGCGTGCGTGCGTGCGTGCGTGCGTGCGTGCGTGCGCGTGTGTGTGTGTGTGTCAGATGAATTGACAGTTGATGGGGTCTGGTTGTAAGCCAAAGGCAAGTGTTTGCGGCTTTGGATAGATTCAGTGCGAGGTATCAATATTTCTCTACGTGTTGTTTGGATAACAAAATGAACAACGTCTTTGTCTTAGCCATACGGCACCACCGCTTTTAGAAGATGGCAAAGCAATTAGCGGGCAACGCTAGCAATTTGTTTCACTGTTGAGATCGGTGTGAACTAGCGTGGCCGGAGTCTGCCTGGACCCTCGAACTGCCCGTAAGAAGGGAATTCACCCCAGAATGTTGGGGCCAGAACCCATTTTGTCGGGAATTTTGAGGGTTCACGTGTTTTCTTGGCCCCGAGAAGTTTCGCGCGCCGCAGCAGGGCAGAACTCCTCTTTCAGTCCTTCAATCGGCTCAAGAAAGCCTTCATCAGAGGCCTCGACCCCATCATTCCCACACTTCGCACCGAGATCGGTGCCGTGGATGGTTGCGAAATCCACTTCGCACCACGTTAAAGCCATGGATGAAACCATAACGTTTGTTGGCATTTGCAGGGGGAATCGGATCATTCTAGGGTTTCTGAACGGTGGTGCGTTGCATGGATTTCGCAACCATCCACAGAATTGCCGGAAGGGTGTTGGGAGGACTCCGTGAAGAAGTGTTTGGTGGGTCTCCTGCTGCCCAAAATCTTGTTTCTGGAATGTCCCATCTCGACATATCCGCTGTGACCTTCTAGAGCCCCAAAACCTCTTCATACCAAACCTTTCTCCAAGGGGGCCAAAGGAATGCCTGAAGAGATGATGTGACCGGTTGGCCTGCGCGACTTAAACCAACAAGCGTTGGAGTGTTCCATCTCACTGTAAGTGCAGTCGATTGGACACGCTAAGGAAACCGCGTGTTTCGGGTCCAGGTCTGAAGAAGTCTTAGATACTCTTAGTGACCTCACACCGTACGTTTTGACGTTGGCAACGCGCGTTGCCAAAACGCGCGTTTCAGAACTCCCGTTTTGCACGTTTTGGGGAATACTGCAGTCTGGCGATTGCTGGGCGACTTAGATGCTTTTTTACCCTGGAATAAAAACATATGTGGCCCTACTGGCCAACTTCCTAACAGCTCTACGGGGCAGTCGTTTGCACGTCCGGCGACTTAGATTCTTTTCAATTCTTGCCCTGCAGTAAAAGCAATTGTCTACTGGACAACCTAAGAAAGAAGCTCCCCAGGGGAACGCGGCAGTCTTTCACGTATCGGCAACTTAGATGCCTTTTTGCCCTGGGCCCCGGAGTTGCTTGATTGCCCTCAGGCTCTCCAGATGCTAAATGTTGGTTTGAGTGCTTTTTCCCAGCCCCGAAAAACGCATGTGTGTGTGTGCTTCGCGGGTCGCCCAGAGGCCCCCGAGTTGTTTGCCTGTCCTTATGCTAAGTGTTGGTGCGAGTGCTTTTTCTCAGCCCCGAAAAACGTGTTCGAGTCCTTTGGTGTGGCTGCAACATTTGTCTGGCGTGTAAGATGGGGCTGCGTGCTTTTTCCGGAGCCCCGCACCATGGTCCGGGTTGCTTCAGAAAATGTCTTGGCACACCGGCGGACCCCAAGGGAGCGAACCAATTAAACGACAATGGCGGTTACGTACTACGAAATACAGAGCTTGCTTCGCTGTGTTTTACTGTTGGTACACAAGGTAGCCAAACCATTACGTTTGCTGCACACCTCACGAGCGCGTGATTGAGTAAGCAAGGTGATTGTTCAGCTTGTGAGTGTGTGAAGTGACTTTAGTTCCCACCAAGTCCTGGCAAGAGTGAAGTGAGGAAAGGTGAGAAGAGGTGAGTGAGAGGTGAGTGAGAGGTGAGTGAGAGGAGCTGAGGTGACATATTGCTGTATGACCGCTTTTGGCACGGGATCCCTTGATTGTGCACGCATGTGCACGCTATCATTGGCCTGCTCTGTGTTCATTGGTCTCCAAGATCCCTTGAGCTGCTCGTTTGTTTGGCCTGACATGACCTCATTGGCTTCCGGGATCGCACGCAATCCTTTGGCATGGCATTTGCGAACGCAAGGTGAGTGCCAAACTTGGTCGGCTTCAGCTGAGTTTAGATCATCAGGCTGGGGACGGGCGACCTAGCGCTCAGCACGCTCAGGACTTGGAATCCCAGGCGCAGTGTGTGAGGCAACCAGCGCCTTGAAGGCGCTTTTGAACCAGTCAGAACGAGCTGGCGCGGCGTCGCTCTGCCTGTGAGCACAAAAAAAGTTAAAGTATCCTGCCACCCCAGACGCGGCGGTGGAGTGTGGCAGGGCCCCGAACGTCCTTGTAGCTCACGAGCTCTTGCGACGCGCGTGCGAAAACATGGCCGGTCGGCAAAGCGGCGTTTTTCACGAACTCGCGGCAGCGGTTTTCTCTCCGGTGGCTTGGCTGGAAGTGAATCCTTTCAGACATATTTTGCACTTGCCTTCTGAAAGTTGCGGAGCGAGTTCAGGAAGTCGGGCATCCTGGCGGAGGGGCTTGGTGCTGGGCTGAAATAGTTTGGAGGGTTTCGGCGCGGACTGCCTCCGAACTTTGGTGGTTGACTGCTAAGCCTTGCCCTGCTTCTAAAGTGTTGGGAGGGGCGAGGATTGCCTCCGACACATGCGCACTTGAAGAAAACTTAGGCGCCTGCGTTGCTTGACTGTAAGTGTCTGCGAGGGGTTGCTAGCGCTTTTTCGATTGATTCATGTAGGTAGGTGGACGCGCGCTCTAGAATCTCAAAGGTGTAGAGCTATAATAGGGCGTTCAGGCTTCAGGCACGCCTTACACTTCAACGAGCCCACTCACGAGGTTGGAGTACCACGACTTGCTGAGCCTTTTTGAGTTTTTAGACAACGGAGATGGGCAGATCACTTTGACGGAGTTCATTGAGGGCGCAGCCAGGCTGAGAGGCGCGCAGTCGCCTGGGCTTGGCTGATGTGTTACAAGATATGCTTTGTGTAAATGACGTGATGTCAAGGTGCAAAAGGTGATTGCGAGTTGGTTTGTGGCTCCACATGTATGGCGCTTTGCATGGTTCATTCATCAACAGGTTCTTTCCATGTTCTCCCATTTTCCGTATGTCCACCCCCAAAAAAATGTTTGATGCCAACGGCGAGGACTTTGGAGCCGCTGAAACTCCATGCTTCGGTATATTGAGCGATTGTTATTGTTGTCGCTGTGTTCTATTAGGAAGCAGGGAACAAACGCACGATTACACCCAATTCTACACAACGGGCAACATGGCCCAAACCTTTGCAAAATTTGGTTCGTGTGTCAAGCTGTGACAGACAACCCTCTCGTATTCGCCGGATGAACACGCGTCACGTTTGTAAAAGGAGCCAACTTATGGCCGGCATATTGCTGAATTCTAGGGCATGCCGGCTGCCCTGGCATGAATCATGTGATGTGGTTCTGTAGCTAATACTCAAGCATGCATTATTTGAGCGAAAATCATCAGGGATCACTTGGTCCTGGTGTGGCCGTCGCTTTGCCACATTCGCAAGGGCCACATGCGTTCCACGAATGGTACTCACATCCTCCGAATGTCCACTGTGGAACTTGAACATGCTGGTTTGACATGAAGAGTTCCAATGTTCAAGGCGTAGATTCAACATGCGTGTTTGAGATATGATGCTAGCCGCCCCAAGTTCGTTTTGGCTGCACATATTACGTGTCGTGAAATCCTGGACCTGGTCATGCGCACAAGCGGAGTAAATAGACAGCTCAGACCCTGAGTCCATGCGATGTTCATCAGCAATCAGAAAGTTCAAACTTCCCGAGTCCATCTTAGCCTCAAAGCTTGCAATGAACATTTGCCCTGGAGCAGGATCCAATCGACGTGCTGACGTGTGTGTGTGTGTGTGTGGGTGTGTTTGATCGACTTGGCAACTCTGTGCTTGGGCAGGGACTGGGCCCGATTCAAATTGGCCAACTCATAAAGATCAAAGGACATATGAAGCAGATGAATTTCATTCATGTGAACTTCTAGGCGAGTTCGCTTGTGCGAATCACTCACGGCGTGACGCCCTCTCCTGCCAGGCCAGGCCAAGGCCTTGGATGTGTGGCGCATGGAGACTAAGGTGGAGGCGTCGAAGAAATGTGCATCATCTTGCAGTTTGCCCCACCAAAGCAACGGTTGTAAGTCCCATGTCACCAGGGTTACTAGCCATTTAGCTAAGTGTAAGGCTAAAGCCCAGGGGTGCTTGAATCAATCTCAAGGGCTCTGTGAAACAACTGAGCCCTGTCGCTCTGAGGACATGGTTAGTTGGGTTGAGTTTGCCACTTTCTGACAAAGCGATACAGCTCAAAGGGGCTAACTATTACTCCCTTTGACTTGCTTCAGGCAACACCGAAAGCGATCGCTTTGGTGTCACAGGACACACCCCATGTTCCGACTACCAAAGAGTCAACCAGCCCAGGCAACTAAAATCCCCCTGCCTCCTCATCGCCCCGCCGTAAGAGATTGAGCTGGAGCGTCCGTGTTTGTTCCTGCCTTGAGGAAGGTGTCAATCACATCAAGTCTGACCAGACTTGACCATCAAAATGAGTCCTTAGGCGTTATGAGTCTTGCGTGAACATGAAAATCTGGCTTGCTTGCGGACAGCCGTATCGCAGAAGTTTAACCGAACAGGGACACTGTCATTGGCAAGTGACTTGTTGCTGTTCTGGGCATGCCTTTTCGCTTTTTGTGGCTATGTGATTGTCTTTGACTTTTTAGGGCAGGGTGCCGTAAACAAAATGTTTGTGAACATTCAGATGATTGTTGGGAAGGGTCATATGTCACGCAGTTGGGTTTCCCGGCAGGAAGCAAGCCTGCTCTGAAGTTGTTCAAGAGGAACCTCTGGTTGATGCGGATGAAGTAGCAAGGGTATGTTTGGCGCGAAGCTCGGCCCGAAGCTACTCACGGCACGTTTGATAATTGGGAAAGGACCTTGGTTATTCGGTCGCATTGCCCTGAAAGAAGCCACTAGCATTTTTGGCGCCCAAGTTGGGGGAGTTGCGTGTCCAGATGGCGACTGCGTGATGTCGTAGCTTTCCTGCTGGTCCATTGGCAGCTGGCAGGTTTTTTTAACTACATGGGAGCCCCAGGAAGTTCAACCAATGGCACTTCCTACAGCAACGTTGGGCAGGGCGCGGTCGTGCTAGCAGGCTGTCTACTGTGATCCTTGCCCTTTGTGCTGCAGGTGCTCTTCGAAGAGGTCTTCAAGCTTTTAAGGGCAACCTCCGCGATGACCAGCCAGAGCACCTTCGACTGATGGTCCTGCGCGTGTTATATACGGTGTGTGCTCGTGCGTGTGCAACCTGCGCCTGTGACTGCGCCTGTGCCTGCATGCGTGCGTGCGTGCCTGCGTGGGTGGGTGTCTGTGTTTGTGTTTCTGCCTGTGTTCGTGTTTGTGTTTTGCTTTGTGTTTGTGTGCGCGTCGCGCGTGGGCGTGCGCGTTTGCGTCTGCATCTGCGTGCGCGTGCGCGTGTGCGTGTGCATGTGCGTGTGCGTGCGCTTTCGCGTGTGCGCGTGTGCTTGTGCGCGTGCGCGTGTGCTTGTGCGCGTGCGCGTGCGCGTGCGTGTGTGTGTGTGTGTGTGTGTGTGTGTGTGTGTGTGTGTGTGTGTGTGTGTGTGTGTGTGAGAGTGAATGTCACTCTCAGATGCCCAGTGGATTTCCAACCAGCCCAGTGATCAAAGGAAATTCCCGGCCCGGGGATCAAAGGACATGGGAACCCAGTGGATTTCCCTGGGGAAAAAAAAGAGAGCGGCCTCCGGGCCTCCGATCTTTGTTGGGTGCTTGACTTTAAAGGGACACCCGTAGCCAAAAAAAATGAGAAAAAATGGGCACCACTGCGCAGCTGTGTGATCCAGTGGCTTGGCCAAAAAAAACCTCCAAACCTTTTGGGTCGCCGCCCAGATGGTCCAAACCACAAATGTGACGACCAAAAAGTGACTAAAGCCCAAGACGGAACGCAGGAAGTGAGTATCTGTTGGCGCGGCTATCCACATTGCGCCAATCGTCAAATTGTGTTCAATATGTTGGAGTCAACTTTAGACATTGAATTTGTCTGGAGACCCCAGTACAAGCAAGTGTTTCAAGCATCATACAAGCAGGAACTCAACACTAAAACAGGAAGAAAGCAAAGAATGCCCAAGTCGAAAGTGTGACTCGGTGGCGAAGCCGCAAGGAAGGCGCCCGGGAATCAAGCGCCAGTTCTTCTTGAGTGTTGCTTTGAAAGAAACGTGTTGATGCCTTCATTTCTTGAATGGGTTCTCAAGTGATCTTCCCAACCCAAACTCTCCAGATACTCATGATAGAACCTCCACAGAAAAAAATCTCCGGTGTACTCGTGAAGGATGGCTGAAGAGGAAGCCACAAGGAACTCGAGCAACTTTTGCTGGTACACCAAGCAATGTGAGAAAACTGGGCTGCCCTCAGATCCCCTGCTAAAAGTTTAACTTTTAGTGGGTCAAATAGAAACCCCCGCTAAACACCAAAAGTCTAAAGAGCTAAGGGAATGGCTGGGAGCCACCAAGAAAACTGACACATGTTGAACACCAAGCAGCTCACTTTTGCCGGGCACATGTTGGACAAACAAACAAGCGGGGATACGGAGGGAGCAGGGATGTGGGGGGATATTCCCTTGGCTCCATTTCCCACATCAAACTTAGTCAAGGTGCATTTAGGAAAAATCCTCCCGTATCCCTGGTTCCCCCTGTATCCCTGCTAGTTGGTTTCCCTGAACATGGTTTCTTGCCCAAAAAGGCGGAACACGTGAAGTCTGGCAATGCTTTGCACGCAATCTTGGAGCCCGCGCCATCCTTCTCTTGCCTCAGGGTTTCTGAGGAGAAAATGCCGGCCAAAGGGAGCCGTCATTGGTTTGAGCTGAGATAAAAAGCCGACCGCTTTTATTGCTGCAAATGGGATAGAGATTCCAAAAAAGAGTTGGACTCGTCTCTAAATGCAAAAAACAACTACAAGGGGTGGTTTCCCTTTGGGTACCCTCAAAAAGCACACCCAGGTTTGTTGCAACCTGCCCCATGGATGGGGAACCATCACCAAGCTCGGCCAAAGTTCGATCTCTGTATCAAACACATCTCACGTGTTGCGTGGATTGGTCAGAATTTGTTTTTGCAACTGACATGAACTACCCAAACAGGTTTAAAATTAGAAACTGGGGAATTGAACCATGCGTGTGCGTGTGCGTGTGTGTGTCAAAGGGACCCTCCATTGGCGTCATTTGCGCTTTCCTTTTGACGAAACATGACAGTGTGTGTGTGTTTGTGTGTGTGTGTTTGTGTGTTTGTGTGTTTGTGTGTTTGTGTGTTTGTGTGTTTGTGTGCTCGTGTGCTTGTGTGCTTGTGTGCTTGTGTGTTTGTGTGTTTGTGTGTTTGTGTGTTTGTGTGTTTGTGTGTTTGTGTGTTTGTGTGTTTGTGTGTGTGTGTGTGTGTGTGTGTGTCGTGTGTGGCTTGTGTGTGTGGGCGGGCGGATGGGTGGGTGGACGTGCGTGGGTGCCTGCCTGCGTGCGCTTGTGCGCGTGCGCGTGGGCGTGTGCGTGTGCGGGCGGGTGCGCGTGCACGTGCACGTGCACGTGCGTGTGGCCGTGTGTGTGTGTGTGTGCGTGCGCGCGCGTGTGTGTGTGTGTGTGTGTGTGTGTGTGTGTGTGTGTGTGTGTGCGTGGGTGTGGGCGGGCGGATGGGTGGGTGGACGTGCGTGGGTGCCTGCCTGCGTACGCTTGTGCGTGTGGGCGTGTGCGTGTGCGGGCGGGTGCACGTGCGTGTGCGCGTGCGCGTGGGCGAGTGCGCGGGCGTGTGGCTGTGCATGTGCATGTGCATGGGCATGTGCATGTGCATGTGCACGTGCACGTGCGTGCGTGCGTGCGTGCGTGTGTGTGTGTGTGTGTGTGTGTGTGTGTGTGGGTGTGTGTGGGTGTGGGCGGGCGGATGGGTGGGTGGACGTGCGTGGGTGCCTGCGTGCGTGCGGGCGGGCGGACGTGCCTGTGTGCTTGCGTGCGTGCGTGCGCATGTGTGCGCGGGTGCATGCGCGCACGTGCGCATGTGTCTCTGTCTGCCTTTGCGTTTGCGCGTCTGTAAATGTTTTCCAGCTCTAGCTAGTTGCATAGTTTTAACTGCTGCGTCTTTTGTGTTTCAGGTCAGCCGTTCTGGGGCAGTGCTTTGGTTGGGAGTGACTGTCACTGCGTGTGTGCGACACACACGTTTTAGCTGGATACCGCGCTGTGTCGCAACGATGCAGTTGCCCTCACAACCTGAACAAAAGGAATGGTTTCAGGCCATTTACAGAAAACCTTTGTTTGCCAACCACGGAAGTGCACGGACGTGCCTAGGAAGTTGCATTCCAGAAAGGGTTGCTGCGGACATGAATGCAAGTCTGGCATGTCACCAATCATGACGTGAAGGTCAGTATAGTCTATGGTCTATGGTCCATTTGGGAGGCAACGGGGACTCAAAACCAGGGTCCATCTGGGAGGAAACGGGGACTCAAGACATGTTTCCCCACGTCCTGGAGAAGAACAGGCATTTTTGACCGGTGGCTCACGCAGCAAGGCCCAGCGGAGTTCGAGGTAATAAGAACGTCGCGGGCTCAGAGAGTGAGCCGCATGCCGCACGTGTACGGTTCGTAAAGGTGCTTGGTCCTTGTTCCAGGGGGGATGATCTTGTGTCATGCCTGGTGCAAGATCCCTTCAAATTGGTGGACAATCTCTGTTGAATCGCGATTAGTTTTGTCCCGAAACAGGATCATGTGATAAAGTGCGTCCACCTTGTTAGTGTTGTTGCTCGTAGATGTCCAGGCATTCCGCGCATTGCTTCTGCCTCTCGATGTTGGATTCCCGCAACCTATGCACCCACCGCTGCCGCTGCCGTTCTTCGTTCTCTTCACTACCCGATTTTAGCTCGTTCTTAGCGCATGGCGTTGTTGGTGTTGATTGGTGTTTGTTGGTTGTGCGGTTGGTGTTGTCGGTGTGGTTGGTGTCGGTGTTGGAATTGTTGGTGTTGTTGCTGTTGGTGGTATTGTTGAAATTAATGAATGAATGAATGAATGAAATGAAATGAAATGAATTTAAATTAAATTAAATTAAATGAAATAAATGAAATGAAATAAATGAATGAATGAATGAATGAATGAATGAATGAATGAATGAATGAATGAATGAATGAATGAATGAATGAATGAATGAAATGAAATAAATGAAATGAATGAATGAATGAATGAATGAATGAATGAATGAAATGAAATGAAATAAATAAATGAATGAATGAATGAATGAATGAATGAATGAACTTGTGCATGAATGAATGAAGGAATTAATGAAATAAAATGATTGAGTGGCTGAATATATAAATGAATGAAGGAAAGTGAAATGAAACGAAATGAAATCTATGAAAGGACAGAATGGAATGGGACGGGATGGAATTGAGTGAAGTTGAATGGAATGCAATGGAATGGAATGAATGGATTGAAGGAAGGGAATGAAGTTAGTGAGTGAAAGAGTGAAGTGAGTGAGTGAGTGAGTGAGTGAGTGAGTGAGTGAGTGAGTGAGTGAGTGAGTGAGTGAGTGAGTGAGTGAGTGAGTGAGTGAGTGAGTGAGTGAGTGAGTGAGTGAGTGAGTGAGTGAGTGAGGTGAGTGAGGTGAGGTGAGTGAGTGAGTGAGTGAGTGAGTGAGTGAGTGAGTGAGTGAGTGAGTGAGTGAGTGAGTGAGTGAGTGAGTGAGTGAGTGGGTGGGTGGGTGGGTGGGTGAGTGCGTGAGTGCGTGAGTGCGTGAGTGCGTGAGTGCGTGAGTGCGCACGCGCGCGTGTGTGTAAGTGTGTAAGTGTGTAAGTGTGTAAGTGTGTAAGTGTGTAAGTGTGTAAGTGTGTAAGTGTGTAAGTGTGTAAGTGTGTAAGTGTGTAAGCGTGTAAGTGTGTAAGTGTGTGTGTGTGTGTGCGTGTGTGTGTGTGTGTGCGTGTGTGTGTGTGTGTTTTGTGTGTGTGTGTGTAAGTGCGTGCTTGCGTGAGTGAAATGACATTAAACGAAACAAAGTGAAATGAAATGAAGTAAGGTGAAGTGAAATGAAATGGACGAAGCGAAGCGTTGCAAAGCGAAGCGAAGCGCAGCGAAGTGAAGTAAATGAAGCAAACAGACATGAAATGAGTTTAAATCATGGGGGCTGGGGGCGGAGGGAGGCGAGGGCGAGGGAGCCCAAACCTGCCCTCATTAAGCCCCCAGTAAGGCCGAAATAGTATTTAGGGCTCAATTGGGCTCACTCCCCCTCCCCCCATGATTTTTGAAATGAATTCAAATTCAAGTAAATGACATGAATGATTGAACAAATGAATGAGCGAACAAATGGAAGGGAGGAAGGAAGGAAGGAGGGATGCATGGATGGATGGATGGATTGATGGATGCACCAATTGATTCTTGTTTGCTTGCTTGGCTGCTTGGTGCTGGTTGTTTGGCTGGTTGGTTGCCTGCTTGCTTTCTTGCTTGGGTAGTTGGTGCTCTTGTTGTCCGACGGAGGGGTGCAAGCTGGCCGCTTGCGCCCTCAGGGCCAGCATCCAAGATGTCTTCGCAAACTCCTCCTACAAGCACATCAAGCAGCTCGGCTGCATAAAGGCAGAAATTTATGGCACGGGTTGAGCGGCACCCTGCAGCTTGACTTTGCGCACATCGAAGTTTTCTGCGGACTTCCATGGGGTTGACTTTCAACAAATCGGTGTTTGTTCTGCTTTCGCTCGTGTGGGGCAAGGAGAAAGAGAGAGAGGGAGAGAGAGAGAGAGAGAGAGAGAGACAGAGAGAGAGTGAGAGCGAGAGAGAGAGAGAGAGACAGCGAGCGAGCGAGCGATAGAGAGAGGATAGAGAGGGGAGGGAGAGAGAGAGAGAGAGAGAGAGAGAGAGAGACCAAGGGAGAGAGGTGAAGAGAATGAAAGGAACACCGAGAAAAGAGGAGCAAGCTCCTTCCTATATCTTTTTGCTACTTCCCCTTGGCCTTCGCTCTACCTGCCAAGCTGCGAATTTGCCATCCGAGGAGCGTGGCCACCTCCCGGATCAGCCAGTCAGAGGGCCAGGACTTGACGGCCTCAGAGGCGGAAGCCAAGTTCACCTGAGAATGCGGTGGATCCCCCGGCGCGGGTTCGCAGGTGCGAGCCATCCTCAGGTGTCCGGCGATTTTTCCCGACTTTCTTCAGGCCTTCGGTGAAGAAAAGAGAGAGAAAGACCGCAGGTGCAGCTGCGGGGGAATGCATTTGCCGGTTGCCGGCGCCGGCGCGTGGCTTTCTTTTTGCCCAAAAGGACACCTGGGTCCGCAAGTTTTCCTCGTTTTTCCCCGTGCACGAGCACTGGTTTTCTGCGCGTTGTGGACGACGTGGCAGTTTCCAACGCTAGGATCCGTGGCACCACAGGCACCAAAAACATTGGCTTGACTGGAGCCCGAAGACCAGAAACAAGTAGGGGTTTTCTGCTTGTGCTCAGGCGTGCCTTGTTGAACCAGCAACTTCCCATGACGACCTTCCTTTTCCAAAGGACCAAAGAGCAGGTTGTCTCGTTGCGTGAGAGCGCGGCACCGCGCTGATCTTCAGAGTAGCTGGCCAACTGGCGAGAAACAACAGTGTGTCAATATATACGACCACCTTGAGAAGCTGGCTACACGCATGGATTCCAAGATTCCAAACATGCGTTGGGATTCGGGCTAGACCCATGCACCTTGCGCCGCCTTGCAAATTCTACCGTGTTTCTTGCAAAAGTGAGGCAGACATGTGTTGCCTAAGGCAGGGGATTGTCATGGCAAGTTGGAGGTTGTTGGCTCTAAACGTCAAAGAACTAGCCCAAATGGACGTCCCGCATGAGATGGATGAAACTGACCTTGGTGACCCTTGGGCGTGCGCAAGGCTTGTGACCTAAGCTGAATTTTGGAGGCTTGGTTTGCTTTCCCGTGATTGGTGCCCTTCGGGCATCGTCCGACAGGTCTCACGGCAATGTCAGAATTGCTGAAGATGCTCGAATGAACACGTGATCAGCTGCGAAGCACTGCTTGGTCAGTTGTTTCCGTAGAAACTGTCGGGAGAGGCTGACCAAGGACCTGGGGTATGATCGCGCTATGTGTTTGTCTATGGAGTAATTGATATGGCATGATATTTCTATGAATTAAAGAGGGAATGTCCTCAACAGCGGTTGGCCGATATAAATCCACACCTAAATGATGCCCACCAGAGCGTCCCGCGCAGCGTCCCCCGTTATTCACATATATATATATATATGTTCGTGCAACATACCATCTATTCATAGAGTGGGTGTTGGCAAATGGCCGTCCAAGAGAGCGTGACCAGCAGATCCTCCAATATCGTCCGGCCAGTGCAACGCCGTCAAAGTCTGTGCGTGTGCGGCCCAGCTTTTCCAGAATTTAAACCTCCAGCCAGGATCCATGGCAAGAACAACACAAACCGAATGCAACTCGTTGAGTTTGATGCTGCACACGACAAGCCTCTTCGTAAGTCGCGTGAACAAGAAGTAAATTGCCAAAATGGATGTCCCGCCAAGGCTTGTGATCCACCTACTGTAGTTGAACTTTGGAGATTTTGTTTCTTGGCTCCCAGCCATCCCCTTAGTTGTTTAGCTTCTTACTTAGTGTTTAGCGGGGTTCAGCCCACTAAAAGTTAAGCTTTTTTGCGGGGGATCTGAGGACAGCTCAGGTTTGGTTTCCTCTCATGACTCATTGTCCATCGAGGGTTTCTCTTGGCGCAGGGAGCAACCGGCAAATCCAAAACCGATTCATCTCCAGGGCATCCAGCTTTTGACATATTTGGAAGGATGAAGAAACGAAACGACTACCTAGAGTTTCCATGACCCTTAAAAAATGGGGTCATTGCCCTAAATAATGGGGTCATGTACCTATTTTTAAAAGGTCATGGAGAACTACTCTCACTTCCTGAGTTCATGAACTTTCTTTCTTTTTGGAAAGACCATTTTAGTGGTAAACATAAAGTTTGGACTTTTTTTGGGGCATCCTTCAGCCAGTGAGTTACTAGGAAGGGCGGCTTTGCGGAAACTGGCGCTGGGATGCTGTTTTTGTTTTCTCAAGTGACTCAGGGCGTCTCGCCTTTGTGAGACAACTCTCATCTTCCATTTGATGAGATTAATATTTTTTATTTTCCCCTGGTTTTAAAGTGAATCCATATCACTACTGGAAATATGTTCGCATTTATTCCAGAGGAGAAGAAGCAAGTGGAGGCACTGCTTAGCCAACAAAAAACAGACGGGATCCCACGGGTTTCGTTCTTTCTTGCACAAGCCTTTTTCGGGCATTCAAAACTTTGTCTTTTGTGAATGCCAAGACTGTTTGGAGCGCAAAACAAGCAGATTGCCTTGATGATCCTTGGCCAACTGGAGTGTTTCCTCTGGCCAGCGAAAATGCTTGAGCAGAAAATTGGTGGAGGTGCGTGGTTGCATTCCGTTTCATGGTCTTTGTCCTGTCCGAGGGCAATTGTTACCTTTGTGTTCAAGCAAAACAAGGCAAGTCGACAGGTCCGATTTGGCTGCTCGAATGGTCTGTGGGGCCAGGCCTTTTTCTTCTGATGTTGAGCTTCACCAAAGGCAACATCGGGAACTTGTCGTGTTTCACTCAACTCCAGTGTTGACAGGGTCATTGCCTCCTTGCTTTGTCGCATGTTTCAGGGGTGTGCTCTCCGCGCCTTACTTGTACTGCTGAAGGTAAGGAAAAGCAGTCATTCTGTCTTGAGGGCAGCAACCCTTCGAAGACTGCTGAGGTATTTGACACCCAAAGCCCAAAGCCACAACACGCTGCCTTACAAACTGCACATGGATCGGCCATCGCCGGATCAATCTGCAAATTTTGGAGTGATGCTACCTCATGTGGATTTCAATCCACGGGCTCTTCACAGCCCGTTACCCTCAAACCAAGCTTCAGCACACCTGTGGAGGACATGCACCTGGACCTTGACGAGCTCAGGTGTTCTTTTGCTGGTGTTCCTAAACCCTAAACCCTAAACTACAATTCGCAGTCCCCAATGAGGAGAGGCAGGGAGCTTGCTCCGGGGTCGCAGGACAGTGCTCAAAAAACAGACGCAACCGAAAGCCCGCGCTTGTTCATTCATTCTCTGTGCCGGAAATGCCCCCAAGTTTCAATTTTGCGGCAGCCTTTGGATAGCACCAGTGGTGCACTGACCTCTGCGGGATGTCTGCAGCAAGTTGCCCGTTAGGTTCCAAACATGTCAGCAGTTGCCTTAAGCGCAGGCTGTGGCCGGCCCATTCCGCCCTCCAAACACTTCTGTTTGTCGTTCGACTTGCGTGCCAAGGACACTGCCCTAGCCTTTCCCAACCAGCCGCGGGCGGCGGTCGGAGAGGTGGTGACCAAGGCATCTTCAATTGCAGCTGTTGGGAGCTGGGAGTTGGGGTGGAAAGGGCGACCATTGGTGTCCTTTTCGGGTTAGTTTGGTTAGAAATAGGTGGGTTGGCTCAAAATCAAACAGGAGGGGCAAACCGCAGGTGTTGGTCCATGTTTCCACTGGCCAGGGCAACCCATTTTGGAATCCGGTATTTTGCGCCACAGCCAGGTGGGCTCCACTGGTTTAGATTGGTGTTCGATTTACCAGGCTATGTTTGTTTTCCCCAAAGGTCACTCGACATGCAACAACTTTAAGGGGCTCTGCGCGCCCCTTACACATGTGTACGTATTGGTGCGCCCGGCACCTTGAGTGAGATGCACTCTCAGCCGCAGATGTGCTTTCAAGGGCCGTTGCCAATTTTGCAACGTCCAACACTTAGAGATCTGTGCTTTTGCTGAGGCTCCTTCCTGGGGATTCTCACCTGTTCAGTTTACAAACGTAAAACTTTTGTGTGGGTAGATTTCTTCATCATATTGGTAGCCCACCAATACATATCTTCTGGCCAGGGTCCAAGTGGGCTTTACAGGATCAATGAACAGGAACCTTGCGGAAAGCCCAGATGGATGGGAGATGGACTTTCTGCCCTCCTTTTATCGGCCTGTAGGGACAGGCCATGCGAACAGCTCTTCTGCTTTGGGGTGCTCGTTTGACTCGTTTTACTCTGAACCGGCAAATCTTCACTGGCAGAAGTGGCACCGAAACTTCGACATCGCGTGGTCCATCGGTGCTCCTCGTTTGGTGGTTGCTTTTAGGGAGCCGCTAGTTGTGCCCGAATGTTAACCCCGATCAATAAATGGGATTGATAGGGGGGGTGGCCTCTTTCGGTGGGGATTCAGACTGGAGGGAACACCCCCCCGAAAAATGGGGCGGGTTGAGAAAAATCCTGGGTCAGCATTTTGGAATACAAAGCCCAGCCGCCGCCTCTTCGTTTTTCTAGGGCAGACCAGTGGAAACGATCCACTTGACGTGCGCACTCAGGCCGTGGAGACGGCACCAGCGACGGCGCAGTGCACAGCTGTAGAGGCGGGGTCCCGGAGGGGTGTGCCCCCCCGACAACCCCCCCAAGAAACAAAGCACACAAACAGACAAACACCGACCCTTTAACAGTATGTCCATGACCCCACTATTTGGGTAATGACCAGCCATTTTTAAAGGGTCATGGAGACTCTAGGCACTTTGGGGCTGCCGGATCAGAACATTTTTCCTCTCCAGGTGCCTGGGATTTCCTGGGGTTTCTTCTCCCCCACCTGAGCACTGCGGACATGGGCCGTTCCGGCTGCGAATCCGGTGAAATGGGCATCAACTTCTCGGCGTTCCTTCGCTTGAAGGAATCGGACCCAATTGGCGTCCCAAACGGCAAGCCCCGTGCGTCCAGTGCCGCTCCAAAAAGGCGCCGTAAGAGCTGCACAAGTCTTCAGAAGCTCGGCACATCCGTGCGCCTAGGTTCGCCTCCCCGAAGGTCTTGGCATTCTTGGCGCTTCGAGAAAGCAAGCCCCAAACAGCACAAAAACCTGATCTTTGGAGCAACCACCCTCCCAACCTTTTCTGGAAACATCGACTGAAGATGAGCGCCAGGTGTATTGAAAGGGTACCTCCCCGACATGGAAACTGCAACAGAGCCCCAGGAGGAGAATGGCAATTTGTTCAGCTTTCATTCTTCCTTTTTCGGGAAGGGCGACCCCTTATTCCGTCCATCAGTCGCGCGAAGATTTTGAGTTTAACACACAGTTCAGGAGAGTTCCGCGAAAAAACTCAATCCGCGTACGCGCCGCGTAGGCGTTTGCAATGTAGACACCACTCGCGTAAGCTACCCTCGCCGCGGAAGCCCTAGGCCTTCGCCAAAGCATTTCGTGAGTGTCCCTGGGCACAATGAGTTCCCTCAAATTTTCTGCCATGACCCGAATCAAAATTAGGTCCATGACCCCATTAGGGCAATGACCGCCACTTTTTAAAGGGTCACAAGGAGACTCTGCACTCGTCCCCTTCCCCTGGCGCGCGGCGCGAAAC